GCTTTTTTGCCTCTATTGAGACAAGAAGAGATACGCTTTTCTTTTGGATATTCAATATTTAACTTAGGCTAGCAGCTGCTTAGCTTAGCACAAAGTCTGGAAGTAGGGAGAAACAAGAAGCCTGATTGTGTTCAAAAGAAACAAAATCCTCTGGTTAGCTTCTCTTGAGGTTGCTAATTATAAATTATGTACAAAAGTCATGTTTAATCTGCAAAACTGTAACTGTTTTTAAAGGTTTTTCTTACTCAGTTTGGTTTTAAGTGTAGGTAAAGTTACTTTGACAGATTCAACAGTTGCTAAAGACTCTAGTGTAAATGATGTCCAGACACACAAAAACAAACACACACAAAGAACTGGCATTTGCCAACACACATGTCTACTAAATGGTCTTTTAAAAAAGCACTTTTTTATATCTGTGTACTAACATTCTGCATGTATAAAGCTTTAAATCTATGCTAAGCTATAATCTAAGCTTTGCTGAACCATATATGTTGATGGAATTTCACATGACCTGTAATAATAATACGAGCTAAAGATACACAATGGATCTTAGAGGAGCCACTGGCTTTTACAGATGAATGATGAATGTCTCAGTATTATTTTTTCAAGGCCGGGCGTTCAGATCTGTGATTCCGATGTGGGTATCTGCATAAATGAAACACACTGACTCAAACACAAAGAGATACAGATGAACATGACACAATCCTGTAACGGCTGTGCAGATTTCTGTACTCGCCACCTGTAAGCAATGAATAAATGACAGGCTTGAAGGTTGGAGCTCATATGAGAGTGTCAGAACATGTACACACTGACATTTAATGTGACTTGTGTGTTTGTAATTATGTCATGTGACACACACCCTTCACATTGAGTGTGTGTGTTGGATAGCTGCATGTGTGTTGCTGAATGATGATTCATTTAACTGTACTATTGAAACCGTTATAGTCAATAATGTTGTTTTGTGTGTGTGCCCGTTCATGTATCTGTGCACTCGTCTCATATGTCATCGCGCTGTCTTGTTCATGTCAGTGTAGTTTCCCCTCCGTGCTGCCTTCCATACTACGGCTCCCATCATGCTTTGCTGTGCGGTGTCCTCCCACTTCTTGTGTCATCATCTCACGTTTTTTTGTCTTGCAGTCCTGTCACTCTGATCAACTTCTGGCCCGTAGACCATGCGTGAGTACTTGGCTCACACACACACACACACACACACACACACACACACACACACACACACACACACACACACACAGAAACTATCTTGTTTTCTTGTTAATTTACACACAGACATCTTTCTCCCAGTCACACGTACGCACACACTCACCTTCACCCATCTCAAATTCATTGTGTAACGCCGTTTACATCTCAGTTTCTGCTGCTGCTTGACCCCCCCCATCACCCTGCAGATCTGTGAGTCAGGCTGAGTCAGTCCTCTGATTCTTACTGTAACCATGAAAACTGTCCAAGCCAGTAAAATGTATAAAACCTTTTCTATATAGTTTAATGTTCAGCACAGTAGATCTTTTGAGCCCACTCATGACCAATCAAAACCTGACCTGTGCAAGCCAACAATACACCAACATCATGACGTTAAAGTAGCTGATGTTCTGTTTTAGTGACATGTTGATCCAAAGTGGTTTAGAAATAATATTAGAAACACCAATTGATTTAAGAAAAACATCATTATCTGAAATGACAATCTGCTAAAATTGTATTTTTAACACCTGAATTGGATTTTCTCACTTGCTGTGTCCCTATTAGATCTGTAGCCTTATAGTGTTTATGCAAATATGTTGTCCAATGCTTTTCTGGAAATAGTCATCTTACATCTGTAATGAACAGAGAAATACAGTGTTGATCACAGCAGTGACAGCTGGCTTTCTTCCACTTTGACAGTATAGCATACAGTCGGTGATCCAGATGATCTAAATGGATCAGAGCATGCTCAGTCTGAGCTGTTCTGTCATAACTATGGCAGGTAAAAGTCTCCTAGGAAATCAATCAGACGCTCATGTAAAGTAAACAGCTTTATGACGTTAAGTGATGCTTGTTTAGTGGAATTTAATCCTCAGATGTTATTCAAAGTGAATATGATTAAATTCTACACATCAGCCGGTTTGACACAGAATGACAGGGTTGATGCAGAGGATGGAAAAACATGTCGTTTTGTCTTTAAATAAAAGAAGAATCGGTTCATGTCTTCTAAACACTAATGTACATTTTGCTTTCATCATGTTGACACAGTTTTCTCTCTTTAAGCGTCTTTATTTGTTCAATTCCAGATCAGGTGTCATGTTCACCTTTCATATTCTGGTCTGTTTAAAAAAGATGATCTAGATGTGTTGGTTACATTTCTGTTATTCCAGACCCGTGAAGATACCAAGCTTCCCCTTAAACCCGAGCGACACATCATCAGTGTGTCAGTGAGAAGTGTTTGGTGCCCGTGTGTCAGGATCGGCATCTGTTTATATGTTGCACCTCAGCAGTTTACTTCACCCAGCATCTGTGTTTGCTTGTGGGAAGTTGTATCTGCCAGAGGAGCATGAGTGACATGTTGTTTATAAGTGACATAAAGCCTGTCTCACTGCAGTGGCCCACAAGACACGCTCAGTTTTCTTTTCTTTTTTTTTTACCAAGGATAGAAACAGGTGCTAATTTCATTTCTTATTTAAAAATGAGGACACTTTCCACCACATTAACTTTGTGGTTTGAACTGATCTGTTTGGCTCTTGACAGATAAAACTTGCCAGCGTGAAGGTGCCCTTTTAGAGAGAAGTTTTCAGGATTTTAAAGAGTCGAACCTCTAATTTCTCAAGGACTCCAACACTGCAGGAAAACTTGTTAGAATCCTCAGAGACTCCTGGTTAATGATGTCAAAATACTGATCTTTGCCTCAGCAGAAGAGGTGTGACGTCTCAGATCAGAAGCCTCTTTTGAAGTGCAGGTGAATGTATGCCAAGCCGGGAGTAAAGGATCCAAGCTTATTTACAGAGCATTTCACAGCACCATACATCTGTCGCTTCACTCATCGCTCTCCTGTGGATTCACGCAGCTCGTGCATGTGTGTGTGTGTGTGTGCTGGGATTAATGAGTCCCTCCTGCTTGTATTCACACTCTCTTATTCTTTCTCTCGCTCTGTGTTTCAGACCCGGATCGTCCCCTCAGCTCTCACATGACGACACACACACTCGGATCGAGCACTACGCCAACCGGTACCACACTATCAGCATTCAGCAGCAGCGTAGACTCACAGTGTTGCGAACAGGATGCAGTCCTCCTGCTCCACTTTTTTTTTTTTACATTCCCTGCCGTTATCTTGGGCCGTACGAGCACTGCGCATAATGGCTCCTCCAGAGAGCTCTGCAGACACCAGAAAACATTTTTGATTGATGTGATTTGGAATAATGAATTTGGAGAACATGTTAAAGCGCAGCACGCGTCCTGCACTGGGATGCCTGTCTTCCCCCCCCCGTGCTCACGCAGCCGGTTACTCACAGGGGATCAGTTGCCCTAATTCTTTGCTGACGCAGATATGGGGAACTTTCGGTCAACGTCCTCATGCTCACTCCATTCAATAAATCTAAAAGTTGATCATTAATCCTGTTTTTACCTCCTCACTAATCAAATTAGTGAAAGCTCCCCAAATCACCAATCTGTGAAAACATTGATGTGGAATGTGACAAAAAGTTAAACGGGGACAGATGGACTTAAAGCTATCGTTTACAACCCAGTGAGTCTACTTAACCACTGTGATCTGAGTATTTTTGTTCATGCAAACAATCAATATGTGAAATTACATTTCACGCACGTCATATACAGTACAGGTGATTTCTCTCTTTTTTAACATAAAGGACAATGTATGCCCTGTGTCTTCTATTTCACTAAACAAGAGTTAAAGGTACAGGAAGCTTAGAATTAGCTCGTTTCTTCCACATCTCTATGTAGCTATGAATCATAGACTGTAAATAATAAGGTATGGATCTAAGGTCGAATGGAAAGCTCTTTAAATTAAATTTAGCCAAAAATCTGAACTTGTAATGAACTGTTTGTGTTGTTTAACAAAGTTTGTTATAGGACAGTTTCTCAAATCTGTGCCAAAAACAAACTCATATTTATTTCACTTAAACTGGACATGAGCTTTTTAAGTTTCCAGTAATGAGGTCCATCTGTGGTCATGTGTTCAGAGGTAATAGCATAGCAGTAACAGGAACATATCTCTGTGTGGTGACCTCCAAATCTACAACTATATTAGATCCTCTAAAATGATCACACTGTTGAATCAACAGCTGTAAATATGCTTCCCCAGAAAGTAACTGTTGTGACCTTTATGAAGGAAATATGTAACGCAAATCAGTCTTTTTATTCTGCTTTCATTTTAACGTAGCGGATAGTGTACCTGAAAACTGGCAACTTACTACACAATGCTGTGTGTCTAATTACAATGTGGTGAAAGTAGCAAAATAGTCTAAGAGTGAGGCGGTAAAGGTCAACATCAAATAATCTTCAGATGAGAAAAGGAGAAATCAAACAACATGCACATGAGGAAACATCAGAGATGTATACTGGGGCAAAATGTAGAGTTTCCTGTACCTTTAACATCCAACAAGATAACACTTGACAGATGTTTCCAGCTGTATATGTCAGTGCATTGAAAGCAGTTTGTGCATGTTGATACATAAATGATGGAGTACGGGGATACCTTGACTTTGGAATCATTTTAACACCAGGCCATCTTCTATAAAAGTCACGTCATTCATGAAACATATTATCACTGCAGGAGTGTAAGAGCTGAATGTGCTCAAAGGATTCTCAGTGAGGTATTTATAAAGATGACAAATAGTATGAGGCTGAACTCAAATGTCAAGATATCCCTTTGCGTACAGTAGAAATGGAATCCGTACTCGTGATAAAGTGATGCATTGACTTTTTGGTGAATTAGCGCTCTGCAGTGAGAGGCCAGTATGTGAATATGCTAATACAATGCCTGTATGATCAAGTGCGCCAGCATGTGTGCCTGAAAGCCTCATCAATACTGGACTCTCTGTGGACTCTGAAACCTGTCAATATTGTTGTGGTGCCACACTGAGTCCATCAGAGCTTATTCACCAAAACATTTCAGTGATCTTTTTGAGTTTGCAGTGATCCTAACCGCTCCCAGAAATACCCACCGCTGAGGGACAAGAAGCAGTCAAATCAATCAAACAATGAGTCAGTCGATCAATCGGTCATCGGATCAGTCAGACGGGCACTGTTGGCACCCCTCAGTGGAGTCAGTGTGAGGTCTGAGCCACAGGCCGAGGCTTTGATCCCTGCCAGAGAGTGTTTGACACCACTCACTGTCGCCTCGGGCTAACACACACACACACACACACACACACACACACGAATACACACTGACGGACACACACGCTGAGTCATGCTCCCCCCTCTGGTCCTGTGCTTTTAGCTCCTGTCGCGCCTAGATGTTGCGGATCCCAGATAGCATCCAGCAGATTAAAGGAAGGTGGTAGGGCGAAGAAGTAACATAATTAAGCCTGAGTGAGCTGCGAGGTTATCTCTTGTTTCTGTAGCGTGCATCAGCTTACGAACACAAACACACCGACCTGGGCAGATGCCAGTCTGTCACAGTCCATCTGCTTAATCGCTCTCTGCCAAGCACCAAGCTTTATTTTTTTTTATTTGAGTGCTGATAAAGCCCCAAAATCTCTTTGCTTTTCGGGCAAACACTTCAACCGCCAGGAAACTGATCTAGTGGAGATAGAAACGGGGCAATTTAAATCTCTGGCTCTTCACTCACAGCTATTTTATCATGATGGATCTGTTTGAGAGCACAGCCGGGAGGTTTGTTTACAAGACCCGTCTTAATGGCTGAACACGGGTGTCTTCAAAGACAATACAAGGGATTTTTTTCCCCTTTTAAAAGAGTCAGCTCAATCATTTTACCAAAAAATATTTCCTCCCTTTTTAGAAATAAGAGATATGGATATAGAGCCAGCAAGTTAACAGAAGTTTGTAGAGTACATAGGTTTGAGACATGAGGGAGAAACAGTTGGCTAGGCTCACAGCGATGTGTGAAAAAGACTTTTAAGGAACCACAAATGGCTTAGTGAAACAATGCTGGATTTCATGTTGCTCCCATAATACCACAACTATCACTGATCTCTGCACCGATGCATCAATTTAACATCCGTATCTGCTGTCAGACATCAGACATCGGCAAAGACTGTGACATGAACCCATGTCAGTCAACCAAACTATACCTGGTTATATCACCATGACTTCTTAGCTAACCCGGCTGTCCTGTGTTTAGCACGTGTCATCATTAAATGCTACTCTCCTCTTCCTCCCACATTACTTTTATTCTAGTGTTATCGAAGGCTTTGTGACTAATGCACCAGAAATTCAATTACTGTAAATCAGTTCTGAGGCGATCACAAGTGAGCTGTATAAAAGTGAAAACTAAATAGCAGTATTATGTGTTAGAGGTCTGCCAACCGCCACTTTTATAAGACAGCATTCAAGGCAGTTCAAGCCAAGTAGTATAAAACCCAAAGAGGCCAGAAACTGAAGGTTCAGCTTGTAGTGCATCAGTTGTAAAGGCTGTAAAATAAAGAGTCAAGGCGATACACAGAGGGCTGCACAGTGTGTGGGTGTCAAACATTTCATCTGTTTAATAAAAGGAAGATACATGTGCCGAACACGAGGAATTCCAACAGTGTCAAGACGAAAAGAAACACTTTTATATGTTTCACAAAATCCTCAAAACTCCTACTCTTGTTTTCACACAATTAGTACAACTGCAGGCATCAGGAGTTATTCCTCCCGCTGCAGAGAAATGGAGATATTTACAAACTTTCATTTAGCAAAAAACTGCGCCAAGGATTTGGAATGTAGAAGTTAGATAATAATAACAGGATACATGAATCCTCAAGGGTTTCATGTCAATCTGCACATTAGCGTACACTGTAAAAACCAACCTCTGAAATATATCTGAACTTTGTCTGGAGGTGCTTTCCCCCCGTAGAATCTGCTAATTGCTCTTAGCGTTTGGTTTCGGGACTGACTGCTCTGTTTCTTCCCCCTCCGCAGGTTAGCAGAAATGGAGAATCGTAATGGCTCTTATCTGAATGACAGTATCTCACCCAATGAAAGCATGTGAGAACCGCTTTTTTGTTTGTTTGTTTTGTTTTTTGCCAAACTCACTCACTGATTGGCTCGCCGTGTGTGAACTGGCTCTGTCGTCTTTCTGTCCATCAGCTGGTTGTGATACGTGACAGTGACTGTGTTTAAATGTGCTCTATGTTTTCTGGATTTTCTTCTTGTTTGCATCATCATCATGTATCTGTTATTACCTGGTAATATCAGTACATCTCCATATTGTCTTCATGTTGTCCTCTGAGATTAGATTCATTATCCGGATATGAAATTGATCAGTTTAAATATTTATGTAGCCTTAAAAAGGTTCAACATGTTCTGAATGTCCTTTGTTAAACTGTTTTATGTTTTTAAATGAATGCGTACAGATGTGATTATCTAGAACTTAACGTTATGCACTGTACAGAGAGAGGAACACAAAGCAGCTGGTCATTATCTCAATCATTTGAAAACAGATTCTATAACGGTCAGATAAAATTAAACTTTGTGTTATTCTTAGTCGCTTTTAGATAATCAGAAGCAGTTAACGCTCCTCAGCTGAGCAGACCTCTCACAGTTCAGCACTGTGGAGGCGGCTTGACTTCTGCTCACTTTACATGAATGTAGCTCAAATCCACAAAGCTCGTTGATTCAATTTACATGTATCGATTTAGCTGCAGAACTTTTCACATTTTAATGCTTGTGCTCTGCTCTTCTCCGGGTGACATTTTATTTACCAATAAGGCTCTCATCCTAAAACCACTGGATCCTATGTACTTTCCCTGATGTCTTTGAATCATTGACAATGACTTTAAAACGTGAATAAGCTCCTCTTTTAGATAAAAGAATCAAATATTTTGATAACATTTACAGTCTAAGATGTTTTGCAGCTTATCTCAGTATGTGATACAAAATCTTTATTCCCTTAACGCTGCACCAAAATGACAGACCAGGTGTGATAAATGATAATACAGATTTGAACACTCTCATAATGAAATAAAGTATTTTTTAAAGCCTCAGAGAAACGTCAATATCCCACAGACACACAGCAAACACTTTGAGGTGTTAAACTAAGGGATGTGATTTCCGTCTCGTTTGTGACTGATACACCCAAAGTAAAAATCGTGTACGGTTTGTGAACATGTATTTCAGTATGTCAAATTTTAGTCAGGCTGAACGCCAAGTTTAAAAGTTTGTCAAGTAGAATATATTCACATGGACCTTGACCCGAGAAGAGAAGTCTGTATTAAAACTCCAAAGTTCAAGAGAGGCTCCAGTGCATCAAGTCAATATTACTTTCAAAATGCAGCTTGGTTGATGAAGCACAGACGAGGAGCAGAAAGCATCTAGAGGCTATTTTAAACCACAGCAGACCAGAAACACTCCGGCTCGCCTCATAATGACTTTGACTTTCATGTCGGTAGTCGCTTTAGAGGGTTTAAGGTCGTGTTGTTTTCAAGCAGCTCGTATCAGCAGCTCTGTTGGTGTGCATTGAATGCAGCATCAGTATGATGAATACCTGGTCTAAGTAATTCTTCCAAAACTCCGCACAGGTGATTGGTCAGAACTCGGCCAATCACCTGCTTCAGAGAGTTAATGCTTCAGAGTATTCTCTGCCCCCCCCCCCTCCCTCCACCTGTTCTAGACTCTTCTTCTGTGGTGCAGTCCTGTTCCTGTGCTGCTCTTCCATTCTCTTGCTGATTTTCTTTTTCTTCATTTTTTCTCGTATGTCTGCCCATCATCGGTGGGCGTGGCGTGGCGTGGCGTGCGTTTATATGTGCGTCTGCAGCGATGACGAGCACATGTTGATCCAGCACTACTGCCAGTCTCTGAACCAAGGCTCTCCCCTCAGCCAACCTCGCAGCCCCGCCCAGATCCTCATCTCCATGGAAACGGAGGAAAAGGGAGAGCTGGAGAGGGTCCTCAATGACCTGGAGCAGGAGAACAGGTCAGTTAATCCACCAGTCACAACTTCTCTTGTTTGTATCAAATCTTTACTCGTCACAAAAGTTCAAATCGTGAAGTTCCTCAAATTCGATGACTCCTCCTGCACTTTAGGGATTTGACTATTTCTGCTCTTAATGAGACACTTTTCTCTCCCCATGACTCACACGATCTATAAACTCGCCAGTATTTTTAGACATCACTGTGTTATTGTCGGAGCTTCTGGCATTTTGCACTATTGGCTACTAGAAAACGGCAATCAAGATCTGTGCCGAATCCCGCCCAGAGGTGCCTTTTTTTTTTTTAAAGGCACAATGTAAATATGCAGAACCAAATGGCACTCTGCTTTTCTGTTCATAGAAACTTTGAGTTATCAAAGCCCCAACTTCTACTGCATCACTTTTTAAAGTGTGCTAACACTAGTCTGTGGTCATCATGGGAAATTATTTTATATCTTATGAATATATCTTTTAACCAGTTTAAGGAACATTGCAGCATTATTCATTAAATAAAAGACAGGTTATTGATTTAAAACAGTATATTATTCACTACACATATTTTACAGACGATTCCCCCATTTTCCATGTTTTTCTATCTCATGTCTATTTCAGAACAGACTGGAATTATGTATATTTTAGACTGAGGAACAAGGGATCCGATAATGTTTGTTATTTTTGATGAATGTCTTTATTAGGACAGGACAGTGGATCGAGTCTGGGGACGCCACTTGGAGGGCTTTAGTCCTCTGGACATGGGACACACTCTTTAACCTCTGAGCTAAACTAGTGCCCAAAAATCATTACATTATAAATATATTCAGCCTCTGTAAAACATCTCTTTGCAACGACTGCCAAGTACCAGTCCTCCTCTTGTTCTCATATTACATCAGTCATAGAATAAAAAGATATAAATCAGTGGAGACTGTAACTGTGATCTGCAAACATTAGACATTTTAAGCAAACAAAGTCCATCTGTCATGTTCCTCATTTGCTCTTTTCATCAAGGGGATTGTTTCTTTAACTTGGGGAAAAATAACAAACAGGCTGCCCCTTGCCTGAGCAATGACTGTAACTGATGGATGTTTACTGTCATGTTTTATTTTTATCTCACGCTCTGTTGCTGCAGTGACCCAGCTTCCCCTCCATAATTAATAAAACAGAAGGTCACCCTCTCTGCTAAGCAGTGGCTGTTTGATATTTCTCATCAGAGCTCGCAGCCTTTCTTTGATTCCTCTGCTTCACTCGTTGCAGGAAGCTGCAGTCCGAGTACGACCGTCTGAAGAAGGCCCACGACAGGAAGGGCCTGTCCCCGCTGCCGTCGCCCCCAGAGATGCTCCCGGTGTCGCCGCAGAGCGCACGCGATGCCGAGCTCATCGCGGAGGCCAAACTGCTGCGGCAGCACAAAGGGCGGCTGGAGGCCCGCATGCAGATACTGGAGGACCACAACAAACAGCTGGAGTCACAACTGCACAGGCTGAGACAGCTGCTGGAGCAGGTACACAACAACCAGAAAACACACCACTCACAGTCTGTGTGTTCAAGTCACAATATGTTTCAACTCTTAACTTGAAGCAGCTATCAAGCAGTGAGTCAAACATGAGTCAAGACAAAACTAACAGAAATCAAAGTAACAGAAAGACGCAAACCACTCCAGCCCATAATGTCTCCAGAGGGAGCTTTTTAAAGTCTGATCATTGTCCTCAAGTGATGTCACTTGAGTCAGTGTGAGGTTTAACTGAAGGCTTCAATTGTTTTAAAGCTCAAGATCCGAGGTCATAGGTCAGCAGAGCCCTGGGTCGTTAAACATGTAATACAAACGAGCTGATGGCCTGATTCTAAAGTTATGATTTTGTTTACTGAGGTTTCACTGCTCGTTCTGCATATTCTGCTCTGCATCTTCAGATTCAAGACTCTCAGAACCGTCAGTGGTGGAGTTGCTGTTTGAGTTTGATGTAGGGTTCAAGTTTTAAAAAGAAATACAAATGTGTGGTAAAAATAGCAGATCTTTCTGAATGTTCTGCATCGGGTTTGTAGAAATTTAAAATAGTTTTTCCCCCAATCTGCATCCTGCAAAGCACGATGTTTAAAAACTGGAAACCAACAGAAAGACACCTTAAAGGGGCAGCGTAGGTCAGCCTGTGAGTTCAATGACTGTGTAAAGCTGTTCAAATCCCTTACCAGACTTTTTCAACATTTGAACAAACCTGCTTCTGTCTTCTCAACGTTAACTGTTAAATAATCCCCCTTGAGCAAGGCATCAAAGCGGTGAGGCCTTGCATGCTGTAGAGTCCAGCAGATGACCCAGCTACAGTCCCGATCAACGAAACAAAAAGTTGCTGTGAAGTTCTCACTCACAGCTTCTTTCACAGTCTGACTGCCAGAGCAGCTGACACAAAAGAGCAAGCCAACTTCTCGGTCACACACACACACACACACACACTTCACTTCCCTTCTGACTCCTCTAATTAAGCTGTGCGACGCGGCTGCCAATTTGTTGTGTATCTAATTTGTGTGGGTTTGTGTGTGTCAGACGGATTCCAAGGTGAACGGCACAGCTCTGTCCTCTCCCTCCACCTCCTCTCAGCGCTCCGACTCCTCCCTCCCTCTGCTCCGCGTGGCTGCCAGCCAGACTACTGATACAATGGGTAAGAACAGACGCACATTCCCACTTGCATCCTTTCATTTGCATCCACCCTGTTAAAAGCAGTGAGGGTATAAATAGAGATGTCTAATTTCACAGAGAGTAGGGACCATAGCAGAATACTGGGAGGAAACATGTTTGAGCGTGGGCTTACTTAAATCGCCCTAATACTTGATCTCCTTCCTGTTTCAGGTGACGATGAGCTGTCCAGCCCTTCCCAAGATGCATCTGGGCTGGAGGAAGTGATGGAACAGCTCAACAATTCTTTCCCTCATAGTCAGGGTATGAAGCACAAACACCAACACCAGATAGGAACTCACAAAGAGTCCCCTCTTTTCTTCAGTTGATGTGTGATATGACGCACAACAATAACTCTCTGGAGGTAGAGCTGATCTGATAGCAGATATAAGACAATAATTGCTGTTTTGTTATCCCCCCTGAAAGGATTCTCTCTTGTTTTTGTGTGAATCCTTTTAAGTGAAGCTTTTCTGCAGGCGTTCAACAAAGAGGAAATACAAAAAGTTGATGTCTTTGACCTCATTAAAATAGTAACTCAGCTAATTAGCAGAGAGATAAGGATTATGAACATTATTGGAAAGTGCAGCCTCAAGTCGTAAAAGCAGGTGTTAGTTTCTGAGTGTATTATACGATAACAGTGGATGCTTCGCTGTTCAAAGCACGTCACTTTTTAGCATCTTTTGTCCCTCATCAGTTCATAATCCTTCATTTAAAGAAAACAGTGCAATACTGTTAGAGACCCCCAGAAGGAGACCTCCAGAAAACGTATTGTATGCCGCTGGGACTTATATTCCAGATTTTAGGTGAACAGTCTGAGCTGTACAGCCTCTGCTCTTTTTGAGTTTTAGCTGCATCATTATATGAGACAATGAGACAAGGCGGAAGATGTCTCTAAATGAGCACAAAGCACATAAACTAACTGTGATGGAAGCAGAGCGGGGCAGATAGAAACGGAGGGCAGCGTGACGCCGCACAAAGTGAGTCAGGGCTGCGTGACTCCCGTCTGTCAGCTGCTCAGGTGATGACTGTCCGTGAAGTCAACTGAAGTGCTTCTCAAAGCAGACCGTGATGACTTTACAAACATCCACTGGGATGGATGCCTCGGCTGACAGCGCTGTCAGAATCTCAGCAGGAGGGACGCTCGGGGATTTCATAACTGAAGATGAGCAGAGAGCACTCTCCTACATTCTCTGAGCGAGCCGAAATGAACCAAGAAGTTTGAATCTGCATTCAACAGGGAGACATGGACATGGGAATAAGTGTGTTGCTGTCTTAGTAAACACTTCCTATTGAACATCCCAATCCTATTTAATTAAAGACATTGAGAATCTGTGTGGAATAAGTCTAAAACACATTTAATTAAAAAGCAGACTGGCCTTTACAGCTTTACTCAACACATTGCTCATTTAGTTTTGGAAAGCTTTAATCATAAGTAAAATTGCCCTTTCCTTTCAAGCATCTGTATTTCTCTCTCTCTCTCTTACTACAATAAAAGGCTGATTGTTCTCCTCCCTTTTTTCTTTCTTTCCTTTCCTTCGTTCCTCCTTTTCTCCGTGAGCCAGGAGGGAGAAGGGGACACCCATGAGAGGTTAGTGGCTCAACTTTCTCTCTCCCCACCTTTCTCGTCTCATGTTCCACTGCATGCAAGAACAACTTTTGTGCCACTCTCGGTCTTGAAAGAAATGTTATAATTGGGTTGATAATGAAGCTTAGAGGAGCTTTATGGCAGAGCAGAAGCGTCATGGTACACTGACGCGCTGAGAAAACAACGAATGTCCTTCCCTCCCATTCTCTGCCTTTCATTTCCTTTTTCCGTCCTCTGACACACTGAGGCTTTGTTTGACAAAGTCGAGTTTGTGCCCTTGCTGTGTAGACTGTGATGAGCGCAGTGTGTACAAATGATGCTTTTCTGTGTGCATGTGGAGAGAAATGTTGGGAGAGTCAGGAAGGTTCTCAAAATGTTGTCGACAGGTTCTTCAGTGGTTACAGAACGATGTAGTCACTTAAAAACACTTTCCTTCTGTTAACATTTACTCCAGTCCAAGTTCAGGACTACATTTAAACAAATATCTGGATGTTTCTTTGTATTCTCATTTAGCCCACTAGGGTTACTCAACCACCTAATAACCAGCCTTTTCACTTTGTTTCCCTTTGCTTAAAAAGAGACACATTGATTTACAATTTATGTCAGAAATGGCTGTAGTCTCGTTTCTTAGGCCAATGCTGAGTTTCTGTAAACCTGCTTTGCCTCACAGAGCTGCTAGCATGGATTTAGACTTGCCTGTTTTTACTGTTGTGTCTGTGTGCTTGTGTTAGCATGCTAACATTAGCTGATTTGCACTAAGAGCCAAACTGCATCTTTTTCTGAATGGTCAAATGCTAACACATGCTGCAGTAAACATTATACTTGCTAAACAACATTTAAGATATTTGTACATTGGTTCTTAAAGCCTTAACTCAGTACAGCCTTACAGAGAGAGCACATCTGTAGACGCTCAGGCTTGTTGTGTCTGTAGCACACAACCGTGCATATTTGTTCAGTCATTTGTATTTATGTGTGCATCTTAAAATCGTGTCACTATCTAAGCGTCTCCCTCCTCTCCCTCTTCAGGTCCCAGTATTGGCAGTTTGTTCCACATGGCCGATGATCTGGGCCGCGCCATGGAGTCACTGGTCAGCGTGATGACAGACGAGCAGAGCGCCGAACAGCACGAGGCCCTGCCCTTCTGATCCCACCTCCCGACTTCAACCTTCAATCTCCCCCCTCCTCCCCCCTCCTGTGCTCCCTCCCTCCCTACCTGTCGCATGCTTTTCTAGTCAAAACAACTGGATCGGAAACACAGTTTACAAAGAGAATATATAACGTCTATTTTTGTGAAGGATTGCGGTTCAAGCAACGACGCGTATAAAAACAAAAGAAAAAAATTATAACTTGTAGATTTCAGTAGTTTCTTAAAACGTCCTGAAGTTGTTTTATTATTAACAGAGGCTGGTTTTTAAACTTCTATGCAATTGTATAAAACAAGATTGGGTCGGGGAGGGGTAGGGACAATGAGAGATGAGATACAAACAAGCGTGTTCAGTGTGTTCGAATATTTGCCATCTCTTTGTAACCGGGGAAAAAGCAAAAGCATTTCAGACATTTGTATCAAAAAAAAAAAAAAAAAGAATGATTGTAATCATAAGGGTGCTTTCTAAGAGGAAAATGTCTTTCTAAAACAGCGTACACTACTGTCAAGGTAATGCAGGCATCCTGGATCTTTACAGTACGTTGTCTGTGAGATTGTGTGTGTGTGTGTGTGTGTGTGTGTGTGTGTGTGTGTATACGTGTGTGTGTGTGTGTGTGTGTGTGTGTGTGTGTGTGTGGTGGTGCCTAATATCCACATTACATTGCAGCTTTTTTCCTTTATGTTTTGGCTTTGGCTCAACAAGCTCATGTTATTGAGTTCCTCATCTATCCATTCATCCGTCCAACAATTTGTTCATCCATCCTCCCTTTTGCCAACATCTCTATGGCAACGGTTTTTATCACTGTGTTTTTTTTTTTGTTTTTTTTTTCCAGCACAGTGTACTGTGTGCATAAACAGCAGTATAATTGGCCCGATTCAGAACTGAGAGTCAACAAGGTCACTTCAGAACGAACGCATATAATGAGAAATAATTACACACCTTTGGACAGAAAAACAAATCTAGGTCTGTTTTTGTATTTAATTTAAAAGCGATATCTATAAATGTGAGTTAATGAATCAAAAACATGTGGAATTGTATATCTGTTGAAATATTAATTGTTTAACAAATGTCTTTAATGATATTAATGTGATTTTAACCCCAAAGACTTTGAGAAAAGTTGTAAGTTGAGTCGTAGATTTTTACATTAAAGGTCAAATAAAAACAGCCGAGGCTGACTCTCTGCCCTTAGTTCTTAAGTTTTTAAAAACTCTTGAGCCGACATTTCCCATAATGCAATTAACACCCAACTCTTCTACGTCAACACCAAAGAATCCCCCTTTAAAATGACAGAATATGTAATACAATGATTCATGTTTTTCAGAGTAAAGTCTTCTGGTCTGCTTCAATAATTCGGCCGTTTATATTCAGTTCTGCATCGGGCCTTTTCAGAATCCTCCAGAAAGACAATTTAAAGAAAGAAAAAGGTCCTTATCATTGCACTGACATCTAAGTTCTGGATTTATCAAACATTTGTAACACTAAGAATCTTTCTTTGGTCTCTCTGGGGCCTGTAGAGAACACACAGCACACTGCTCTGAGTATTGGATTACACTTTCTCTTTGAGAGTTTCTCCACATTAGCTGAACTGTAAGAGGAATTTAGAAGAATGTGACTTTAAATTGAATCCGAGCACTGCAGTGTTACAAGGCTGCTAGATGAGATTATTTTTGGATGAATCCTTCTGTTTGGACGATTTTAACAGAGAAATATTTGAGTTCTAGGAGGCCCAGTAACGTAAGCTCTACCTCGTATGAATGGTCCGGAGGCTACTTCTCTACTGTATCAATCCCACACCTTTATCAGATTGTTGATCATTCATTGACAGGATATTGATTCATGTTCTTCTGCACTGTAGGAGCCTTTGATCTGAATGTTCAGAGGCTTTTTTCATCTCTAACAGAGATTTCTACAACTACAAAGAACCATTTCACACAAATACAAAGACTCCGTGTGCACTACTGTCATACCTGCGACTTACTAGATATTTGTTTTACGTGTGGAGGATGCATTAATCTAGCAGAGTGTTCCATTTTGTCTTTGGTTGAAAAGGCTTTTTTTGTTTTGTGCCGTGTGAGGTGTTACAATATTAGCATGTGTGACTACATGGACGCCATCTTTATTTAATGTGCAGCCACTCTGTGCGAGCATCGTGGCGTTCTACACCTGTGTGTTTTTGGCATCATATCCTCTCAGCATGAGCCAAAAGGGTTTCGTTTTGATCCAGACACTGAATATGATTGATTGTTTTGTTTTTCTCATTTCTAATAATTGTTTCATACTCGCATCGTTTTTCCAATAACGCGTCAATACTTCACAACATATCAGATTCCACCAAATATATGCCTTACTACTGTATTATAAACTGCTTTACTGTATATCAATAAAGCACGCAGACATGTTGACTTGACTCGCCTGTTTGATTCGCTCTTTGTTCTGTTTGTTTTTGACCAGGAGTAGGAAGAATGCAGGGTAGAATAAATGCTCAAAGATCACACCTGGCCACAGGGAAAGAGCCTGATGTGGTGGCAGAGAATGAGGGAGATGTGGAGTTAGACGATGACCATGGAGGCCAGCAGCTCCAGGACACGGCAGAAGAAGAAGTAGAACATGTAGGTCAGGCTCAACACAAGGGAGGAAACAGTAGCTGGAGGGATAGGGAGACATTCAGTCATTCATCCATTAAATGAAATCTTCTTATGTTTTTATCCACTGGTTCATTTAACCAATATTTCTATGTTCTTGTCCAATTGCACCACTGCCTTCATTTCCATATTCCCTTTTTTGTTATTGTAATTTTTCATCAAATGAGTCATAATCGGTCGTTTACTCAGCCTTTTCATTTCATGTCCTTTCGGTTTTATTTTTTGTTTTTATCACAACCACCATGTCATTTTGGTGCCTCACTAGAATCCTGAACACATTCATTCAAGTAACCATGTCCTCCATGTATCCGTGTTATAAAGAGAAGATACATAGATTTATTGATCCCGAGGGAAATTCAAAGCAGTAGCAGTTTACAAAGACATGCACAACATGGAATATTTGTTACAAATAAACAACTGCTGCTCCCCCCTTCCCCACATGCATATATTGTATAATATAAACTCGAAACAAATGTTTAAGGAAGCCCCTACATGAATTTAAATTAAACCTGTGCAATTACAAAATTGAGTTAAATACATTTACTTAACCTGTGCAGGGATAAAAATGTAGGTGCAATTTAAAAGAAAGCTATAAACAGTTAAAATTAGTCCTGTACATATAAATGAAAATTTGTGTTCATGTATGTACAGCATTGTCTTAAATGAAGGCAGTGCAAAATGTAGAAAAAAGACATGAAACAGTCAGTGCAAACATTAGAGGTGCATATAAAATAAATTTGGGGTATGTGAGTTGTTGGACTCCAGAGACATTTGAAGACATCATCTTTGATTCCTGGGACTGTGTTGAGTATTTTTCACTATTTTGTGGACTCGTCATCGGCTGAGCGATAACAATACATAATCTCATCTGCTTCTTTCAAAGGAGATGAAAATAAGCAACTGGTAGAATGAACTGCAGTCGTAACCCTGTTCTGGAAATGAAAGCAGCAACTCTTTGATGTAAATCTCCAGTATCTCACCGTCAAATCAAATATGCATTATTAATCGTGCATTATTTTCACTTGACCTCCTCTTTCAGATTCTGTGTGATATGTCAGTGAAAATCAAATATTGATGGCTCTTAACACGTGGTGCAAAGTGAACTGAATGTGCAGCCTAAATTAGCAGGAAGTGAACTACCAGTACATAAAGGAAAGATCACATAATCCACAGTCATTATTGCATTTAAAGTAGTATTACATAGTAATACTACTAACGATGGCTCCACCACACTTAAAACAATTCTTAAAAGTATGTTTATTACTTTTGCAAATGTGTGTTTATAGAATTTATGCATTTGATGTTTATATTTCACTCACAAATACAAGGCACATAAAGAGAACATAAAAAAGTGTGCGTGTGGAAGAAGAGCCTACAGCTTTTAGGAAAACTACAGCTGGAAGACATAAAAGGTAATACAAAGGCAACAAACTTACCAGATATCAGACATCACATATGAAGTCAAAGAATTTACAAACAAAAAAGCAACCAGCAAAAAACTTTGACAAATAATAAATAACTGACAATTTCTTATAGAGATGGTTACTGTTTTTATATTCTTTACACACTAAACAATACATGTTAACTTTTGGAAAAGGGGTCAATGCATCATGTTTTATACGCTGATTATTTATTGTAAGCGTGAATATGAACTTTTTATCTGTTTAATGTTAGTTTAGTATTTGGTCCAATAATCCTTTACTTGATTGAAACACGTTTGAATGAATATAAAGCTGGGAGAAATTGATCTAAGTAAAAGTATCTCAGACATGATTTCCCGATATGGAAATGTTTTTCTCAATTAGTTTTGCTTAACGCCAAGAATAAGATAAGATAAGATAATACTTTATTTATCCCACAACGGGGAAATTTACATTGTTACAGCAGCAAAGAGCAAAGACTGCAAACAAAAAGTGAACACAGTACAATTTAAATAAAAAAATAAAAATTAAGAATGTACAAAAAAATAGATTAAAAAAATAAATAAAAAAATAAAAATACATTCTTTACTCTCATGTATTAAGATTAATTATATTAGATTATATATATAATTATTGTTTAACAGATACAGAGTAATTTAGTGTTTAATTTGTGCTTCTTTTAACTTAATTTTGTAGATAATATTTAATCTGTTTACAAACGACGCCAAGCTGTGTTTACTTTCTTTCTCCACTAGATGTCACCCAAACCGTTTTTATGAACCTGCGATGACGTAACCCGGAAGCTGTTGCAGATCACGTGACTACACTTCAACATGCTTTCTTAGGACGTTTATTATTAAGCGCAGAATTGAAAGAGGAGGCTGTCCAAACATGTCAGTTTTGTGTTAGTGCTGTAGTTTGATGTGATAGCTCAGTAAGATGTCTGCTTTCAGCGCTGAATTAATAGACTATCTGGAGGGGAGGATAACTTTCGAGGAGTTTGACAAGCGGAGAGATGAGCGGAAACCCAAGGTAAAGAGCAATAAATGGTCGAAATGTATAGACGTACGTTTGACGAGTTATCTGTGTTTCAGTCTGCTCTTAAACGTGCATTTGTTTATGAGTGACTTTTTCTCTCAGGATTCAGAGGAAGTAGTTGAAGATGTGGTGGATCACGAACAGCCCTCTACCTCTGCAGAGATTCTGGGAAGCAGAGGTGAGTCTGCTGGCTGACACTGGCTTGATCATTGGTTGTGTCTCTCTTTAACATTTGCATATTGACATGTGTAGCTAAAACAATAAGATTAACAATGACTGACTTCCATCTAGCTGTTTTAGTGCCCTGGTACTGTGCCTGCTTTTAACATTATCATAACTGACTTAGACACTTAAATGTCGCGGAATATAAGCTTTTACAAAATAGTAAGATATATAATTACTCCCGACACTTGGTACTTACTAATACACATTATATGCAACTATAAATGGATGCAAATTTACTAACAGTGCGACATTGAAAATGTTGTGCGGGTGAAAAACTTTTTTGTCTCCTCGTACTATTTTGCTCGTTTTCCTCACTGAATGTTTCATTTATGCGTTTACTATAAAGTACAGCAAAAATTCATGCATGTCCCTTAGTGGATGCTGGCTCTAAAATGAACAGGCATAAAGAAGCAAAAAGGTATGCACAGCAAGGACTCCAGTTTAAGGATCAGGGATAACCTGCACACCTTCTGTCCTTGGTTGATCTACTATCTTTACAACCATTCTGTCCTGTCAGAGGAGGGAGTCAGCGCTGGGGTCCAGCTGGCCTTCGCCTCCATGCTTGGTGAAACACCACAGCCACCGTCTTCAGAAGAGGAGGGAGAAGAAGCTGAGGAGGAGGAAGAGGACAGCTTGAGCTTTGTTGACGATGAAGATGATGAAGATTATAAGATGGAGGAAGAGGAGAAGGGAAAGGCTGCGGCAGCGGTGGAGGTGGAGGAGATTACAGTGAAGAGACGGAGGCGGCGGGGAAAGGGAGGCAGAGGGAGAGGACGCAGAAGGAGACAGGAGGAGGAGGAGGAAGAGGACGATGAGGATGTGACGGTGGGGGACGTGTTTGCGCTGGAGATGGAGCTGAACCGAGAAAACAAGAAGATGATGAAGGTGAAGAGGAGCTTCAGGGATTTGTGTCATAGTTTATTTTCCACGCTCTTAATAAAATTCAATTTTTGACTTTTTCTTGTTCATTTTCAGGAGCGCCGTCATCGCAGCAAACTGCCCCGCGCTCTGAGAGGCCTGATGGGAGAAGCTAACATCCGCTACGCCCGAGGGGAGAAAGAGGATGCCATCCTGATGTGTATGGAGATCATCAGACAGGGTATGAAACATTGTGTGTTCTAAGTTGTAGTATAGCCCTCTGAATGAGTCATAAAAGTTCAAATCTTCCCATCCAGCTCCTCTGGCCTTTGAGCCTTTCTCCACGTTGGCGATGATCTACGAGGACGATGAAGACACGGAGAAAGCGCTGCAGTTTGGTCTGATCGCCGCCCACCTGAACCCCTCGGACTGTGAGGAATGGGTCAGACTGGCTGAAATGTCTCTTGAGCAAGACAACATCCGACAGGCCATCATCTGCTACACAAAGGGTCAGTCTGACACTACACAAATATTACTAACATATTGTTTCCTGTTGCAAGAATTCTTTATTAGATGGGACCATCTTAAGTCATTTTTAAAACCTCATTGGGCTCTTTGAGCATTTTTCACTGTGCAAAAAAACAACAACTGATATTAATGTACTTCCTTACTAACCCAGCCATCAGGTACGACCCCACCAATGTCCGCTACCTGTGGGAGCGTTCCACCCTCCACATGCGACTGGGAGAGCACAAACACTGCATGGATGGCTACCGCAGGATCCTGGCACTGCTGCCGATGGAGGAAGGAGAGCACTTCATGCAGCTCTCAAAGGACATGGCCAAGTATGGGAAACTAAGAGACCAAACAGTGTTTCATTATTTAGCTTCCCTGACTGTAGTTTGTCATACATAATCATATTTTAGTTGTGATATCTGGATTGTCTCTGTCAGAACTCATACTTAGTTGTCTGTGTTGTTAAGGAGCTACTACGAGAGCAATGACTTGACTTCAGCTCTGGGGGTTATAGAGGATGCTCTGGCACGACACCCTGACCTGGTCAGTGATGACTTCATCAACATGACAGCTGAGCTCTACATCGCCAACCGTCAGTACAACAAGGCCCTGGAGGTATTCGAGTCATTCAGAGACAGAATATGAGAGATGTGCTTTGAGCTGGTGGATGAATTTACTTAGTCTGTGTCTTTTCTTAGGTCTTGGTC